GCTTAAGCAGCAATTTCCAACGTTTATCTCGACTAGTTACCGTATCGGAGGTAAACGCATTATTTGCATGAAAGTTCGTCGCGGCTGGCTCGGATTGTTATTAGGGAAGAAGAGGCTCGTAATTCTGTTTACGCAATTATCGATTGGTTCAACCCTTTACACTTGTAGCGGCGAACCCCTCTCCGTCTAGAAGAGTCGAGCGATTCAATACACGGAGTTTACGTTTCGATTTAATTCAGTCGATGCTTGGAAAAACGTCATTCGAAGAAACAAAGTTACAACGTACCGTGACAAAGCGCGCATAAAACAGCGCCGAGTCTTACGTCAAGAAGAAGAATGAGTTCGAATTACGCTGACACACTGCTAAATTCGTGATGTCAAATTATCCTCTATTTGAGTCATTTCAAATTCTTGCATTGTTAAATATTAAAAAATAAAATTTAAATCAATACTTATAGTTAATTAACATTTTGTTATTTTTAACTGCCATCGAAATTTACTATTTCAACAGAAAGCAGTATTGTTTAAACTCCATTGCATTGACTTAGTTTAATACAATGTTAAATTCTGTTAAAGGCACTTATTTATATTCAATTGGAGTCATTTTTAAGCATTCCTACAGACCGCCACTGTTCCTATTGAATATGTGTTATAATTTAACTAAAACAATGGACTAAAACAATGAACTCAAACAATACTGTTTTGTGTTAAAATAGTAAATTTCGACACACTTGGTAGTTAAAAACAACAAGATGGTATTTAACTCCTGGTTCAAATTTCATTCTTTATTATTTAATAGTGCACAATGGATGGAAGTTCCTCGAATTACGCGCGGTGGTCCGAACTTTGGTAGAGAAACTCTAGACATTGAACGTGATCCTCAATTAGACAAATAGGTACTCAGCACCAAGCGTGCCGGCTGGACAAAGAGAGGGGGACACGTGAGCACAAGATGGTCTCGATCGAGGTCTCGATATACAAGACGGTCTGAGTGGATTACGCAGAATGCGTTCCGCGAAATCGAGACTTCGCGCGACGTCGCGCGTCGGTGATACACAGAACGGCAATTGGTGGTTTTACGTGAAAATGGCCTTGACGGGAGAGTCGACGCGCGGCTTGCCGTACCGCGTTGTCATTCCCGGAAAATCCAGTCACCGTGTGTGACACGCGTACGCGTAGGCACCTAATTACTCGCGTTGTCACATGCCGTGCCCGGTGCGTTTAAACCGTTTTCACATCACCGGAAGTCCCGTTCGCGCGGCGGAAATTCAGGCCGCGTGCGAGACGTCGCGTCGTCGATTGCGCGAATTCAGGTGACGTTCCCCGCCGCGTGAATTTCCCATCGGGGGCAAGGATCGCCATTATTATTCTAATTAAACGTCGAAGCGCGACGTTTCCGGGTTCCAGCGAGTCGATGAATCATCGGCGGTGAATCGCGATCGCGATCGCGAATCGAATTCTTATTGAGCGGCGCGAGGAAAAGCGATCTTTTTTTTTTCTTTCGTAGCGCAAAGCGACGCGCTGAGTATATCCTTTCCGATCTGACAATAAGCGGTATCGCGACCTCAAAAATAAACATTCGTATCGCGTTCGGCGTCATTCACGTTCGCCGTACTCGCTATAGGATCGGAGCGGATCGGAGGGACCCCGCCCCTCCTTCGATCCTCGCCTCACAGTCACTCGCCTGCATTCATCCGGCCGCGCGGTTTGTAACCGCACGGCATACATGCGGGTAGAATAAACTCCGTTCTCTGTCCGCGTACGCAGCCTCCATTCGTCCCCCTCGCGCTCTCACGGCCTTCGTCATTCTCTTTCCCTCTCGCCCTCCCCCTCCGTCCGTTCCCTCTTTCCCTCGACAATATGACGTAGCGTCACTTTGTGGCGACGGCGGCTCTTTCACGACTCCGTGTTCTCTTTCTCTCTGCGCGATTCACGCACTGTCGGCGGAGAAGGCCGAGATAGGCCAAGCTCGAGTAAATGGGACGCGCGACGCGCCGGTGGGACGCTTTGTCTCCGACTTCGTCATTATTGTCCCGTCGCGCTACCTTCGCGTACAATTATTATTCGCGCACGGGAACGCGTGGGAGATGCGCGATTTTAATTCACGAGGCAACAAAAGCTTGGTCGGAAGGCTATCGAGTAAATGAATCATCGTTTTGGATGCTGCAGCAGCGCGAGCGTTGTGGTCGCGGTCAGGATAAACATAGGGCGTTAGAGCGTATAGATAACGAAAAATAATATTCATGACTCACATACAGAGGCTGGCGCGCGTAACCGGAAGGAGATGATCAACGACCAATTCGCTGATGACGGCCTATCTTATCATCGCTCTTCAAACGCTCGAGCTTTTAAAAGAAGAAAATGTACAGAGAAGCTCTGTGTGTTACCGAAAACGTTAGCCAAATTAGAGATCTCTGTATAACGAGGAAGGAATGCGCGCTCGTCACATCCTGTGTTTTATCGCGGGAGCCTTCATTAGCTTAATTCGCGCTTGTTTTACGCGGAAATCGCGATTCTTTCTTGTTATACCGGAAAAAAAACAGAAACACCTGCGGCGCACATCGCTATTGTTGTTGTGACGGTTAGTCTTATCGAGGTGACAGAATATCGCTCGCGATAACGTCGCGTCGGCGATAACATGTTATTCGATATCCTATTGAATCTTTCTTGTATTAAATTCGCGAATCGGCGCAACGGGGGGCGAAACCGACGCGGCCGGGGGTTTCTCTCGCTTCGGAGGAAGGATTTCAGCGTCTACAAACCGCGAAGATAAAAATAGAAGTGATTACTGGCGCGGGACCAAAAATAGCTCTCGCGACGACTCGAGAGGCTCGTCTCGCGCCAAACAATCTGTCGCAACGCGTTGACAACACGGCGTTGTCCGTGCGGCGCGGAAGGCCGGCAAGGTCTGCGGAGTCTACACTCCAATACGCTCAGGTAAGAGCCGAGCGTAAGTATTTGTACGGACGGCCGAGGTAACGGACCTTCGAGAAGGAGCGAGAGAAAAACCGGTTGGAGCCGGAGCGCTCGACCGAATTTTTATACGCCGTCGACGGAGGAGAGCTCGGCGTAAAAGCGAGCCTCTCCGCGTCGCGCGGGATATATAATCGCGGTTTGGCGTGCATACCGCGCGGGGCCCCGGCCCCAAGGACTCCGCTCCGCGGCACTCCGCGGCAGGCACGATCGCGAACCGCGGCGTGCAATGCAAAGCCGCTCCATTCATAAGCGTCCCTTGACGAATAGGAACCTCGTATACTCGTGGCGTCGAACGATCGGACGATCCGTGACGTAGAGAAAGCCTCGGCATTCCAGAAGCACCGTAGGAACGGTCCAACAATAATAATCGACGTGACGGAACGTGACTGCCCCGAGGAGTTTTGGGAAATGGAGATAACCCATCTCATTGTTAAATTTGTGCAGGGTCAAATTATACTCAGTTTGAGTCATTTTTAACCATTCCTACAGATCGCCACTACTAAAAAAAATATATGTCGTTAGTTTAACTAAACCAATGGAGTTGAAGTAATAAGTAGCAAAATGTTATCTAACTCAAAGTATTGGTTTAAATTTCATCCTTTAACCCTATTCACTCCAACCATGCCCTTTCGTGTTTCCCCACGAGTTTCTAACAGTCGTTTTTTTTTTTGTGAAAAAAAAAAATATCGTGGGATAATCTCCCCACGCCGGAAAAATGATTTTTTAAATAAAACGAGTCGTAATGTGTGTTTGTCAACATATAAATGTTGTAAAAAAATATTTAAATAAATGATTTCCAAATGTTATTTACATTGATTTTTAGTCGTAGGTACAAATATAGTGCATGGTTGGAGGATTAAAGGAGCGGAAAAAACGTTGGAGTGAATAGGGTTAATATTTAACAGTGTTGTGGAAAAAGCTATTGCAGTTGCAAAGAAAGCACGCGAAACTGTAACAATTACTGTAACATTTATTATAGTTTCGTGTACTTTTTTCGCAAATACAGTAGCTTTTTCCGTAACACGGTTAAATGTTAAAGGATAACATTTAAACCAATACCTTGAGCTAAAATATTTCGGTATTTTTAACTACCATGTGGGTGTCGAAATTTATTATTTAGTATTTTTCCGTAAGGGAAGCGTGGTCGAGACGCGTCTCTCCTCGGATTCTGGATCGCCTCCGCGGGCGCACTTGTTTGTGCCGATCGTCGTCGGTGAAAGCCACGATTTTAGCGAGTCAAAGGCTGCAACGTAATCGCGCTGTCCAGGCTGTTTATTTACGACAACGTGGTTGAATTTAAGCTGACATTCTCTCTCCGGCGCGCCAATTTCGCGTACGCGACTCTCGTTACACTTTCCGCGTCACGTTCTAACGCGGTCGAGCGGGCAAAAACTGGGCCGCGCCAGCTGGATGAAGCTCTATTACACGGTCCGGCGAACGATATCGCGGAACTCAAACTCCGGTACCCCGTCTCGCTTCCTCGTCATCATCCCGCGCATCTCGCGCGGACAACAATCGAATCCGAAAAGACGAGGAAAGGAGAGACCGAAGAGAGGTTCGCAGCGCGGTATCGTCACGCTCATCACGTCTCTTATCTATGCGCTTCAGCGTCGGTGAACGTCGGTTGGCGAGCTCGATCGTGTTCGGACGTGTTTCGTCCGGTAGAAAAATTTTTTGAAAGTATTGCGACTGTTACCGTCCGCATCGTCTAACCATCAGTACCTTGTATCCGGCGCCTTTCGAGGCCTAAAACCTTTGCAATTTACGCCGCTTGCGGCTTACACGACGAGTGGATCGCCCTGGCCTTTATTCAGAGCAGTTCGCTTGACGGCCAAATTATAAGAAGATCTACGCGCCTCGGTCTATCGGCGACCCACGATCGCCGATAGTCCGAGCTATACGTCTTGCGCAACGCGCCTATGTTTTTGCTTCATTTCCAAGGCGTAGCGTTCCCCCGTCCCGCGAGATACGCCTTCCGATGTTCCGAGAGATCCGTAGGGTAAATAAGATAAATGATATCTAACTTGATCGACGGCATCGACGCCTGGCCGTCGTCGCGTCGGCGCGCGATCGCTACGTGGATCTCCCCGTGGTGCTCCAGCGAGTTCTGGAGCCTGGAGCCAATCACTTCTGCTCAATCACGGCACCGTGCGTATATGCGTGCGGCAGAGACGTAGATCAATCCGCGTGACAACGCGACGGTACGCACGCCGTCCTGTTTGTTCCGCCTCCGCCGCCGTCGACCAGAAATTGCGCGCACAGAGAATTCGCGTGCCGGTCGTATCCGGAGCACGCGAGAAAACGTCGAGATTCTACTCACTTTTTCATTCTCCGCGACGCCGACGCGAGCTGCGTGCGGGGCCCCAGCGAGGCGCAGGAGGAACGCAGTGGAAGAAGGGCCTTCACGCGCAAAAACGGAGCGTGTACGTGAGGAGGACGCGTGCCCGACACTACGTCTACGGTGCCCCTCGTTCAACTGAAGCGGATCGGATCCCCGCACACGGCACAAGGCATCGCCGGTCGCCGTCGCCAGTCACCAGCCGTTAGCGCGCCCCACTCGGTCACCCCGCTCTTTTCCGTAAAACGAAATCTACGACTACGTGCCGGGCGAACGAGAGGACGCTTGCGTCCGTCCGTTCCTCGAAAAGCAGCGCGAATCCCGCAAACGCGTCCGATAAAAGTGTTAAAAATAGTTTCAACCCGAGAACGGGCGCCTAGTCTTTTTTTGCATAAACGGTCACCTGGGTCTACTTTTACACTCCGATTAAAAGTCATTGTTATTAATTGCATATTGCGTATTTTAAATTGTTCTATAATTTATCCGTATTTGAGGATAGTGTGTGTATATAGCTCAGTCAATAGAGCCCGAAAAAACCGCTGAAATGGAATTAATTCCGGGAAGCGATTTTTTTTCTTTGACTGTTTTGGAGGGTCATTAGTCTAAAACTGGATTTTCGGGATTTTAACCCTGAAGCGTTAGCCGCCATTTTGATTAGAAGGGTAATTTTGTAAATATCTCGCTTATTTTCAACTTTAGAGTTAAAGTGGTAATAACCAAACTTGTAGAAAATTTAATACTCTACAATTGGGGTCCTTATCATTTTTTACCTAGGATCAATATTTTGGGTCTTATTAGACTCGAAAGTGGGGGGTAAAATTTTATTATTTTTTAATTTTTTGAATAAACGCGCCATAAACTCTACCCCCGTGATGATGTGGAAAAGATGTTTTTCATTATACCAAGTAAATTCAAAAAATAAAAAAAAATAATAAAATTTCACCCCCCCCCCCACTTTTGAGTCTAAGACCCAAAATATCGATCCTAGGTGAAAAATGATAAGGACCAAAATTGTAGAGTATTAAATTTTCTACAAGTTTGGTTATTACCACTTTCATTTTAAAGTTGAAAATAAGCGAGATATTTACAAAATCACCCTTCTAATCAAAATGGCGGCTAACGCTCCAGGGTTAGAATCCCGAAAATCCGGTTTTAGACTACCCATGACCCTCCAAAACAGTAAAAAAAAAAAAAAAAATTTGCTTCCCGGAATTAATTCAATTTAAATGTCTCTATAATATTGACTGGGCTAATATTGATTTACTAGACATTTTCTGAAAAAAGTCAGGAGAAACGAAAAAAATATTGAAAAAACAAAAGAAGCATATTAAAATTACTGCGACGCGAGCCTCTTATTTTTTCGACACTGGAATGTTTAAGTAGCCCCAAGCGGCCGTTCTCAGGTCAAAGGCCGTGAGCAGCGGGCGCCGAATCGACGACGTACGAAAACGTTACTGTACAAAACATATTTATTCAATAATTTATGAAGATGCGCATACACAAGTACAAGCTCTAGCGTTCTTGCGGCATCGCTACCTCGCGCGGAGTCGCGTTCGATTTTTCTAACGTTTATATACAATCACACCCTTCGCCCTTCGCGTCGAGCGACCGTCGGATGAAACGGGATCGTTCACTACAAAAGCGACGCGCGCCACGCATTTCGCTCGACACGCCGCTCGCTCGGTGGGCGAATCCCCTGAAAATATTTCGCCACAGAATAATATATACTTTCTCTTTCTTTCTCTCGCTCTCTTTCCTAACCGCGAGCTGATGTCGAGGGAAACTTGAGACGCGATTAGAATATGTACGGCGCATAAACATACAAAGTTAAAAGGGCCTGATCATTCTCAGACCCAGATTTCTTTCTTCATCTATCTAATACAAAGCTTGCGTATCCCTACGATGCAATGTCGTTCGCGTTCTGTCAAAAATATTCTATGTACAAAGGTGGGGGGAGGGGGCGGGGGGGTATGCGCTTATAAAAAGTATGCACGATCTCACAAAATGAGGATCCGAGGTTTCTGTCTCGCGTAGCGCAAAAGTAGCGTTGGCAAGTTCTCACTCGGTTCGTCGAGATTCTGCACATTTAGAAGGAAAGATGGTCCGCCGGAACTTAACGCGCAGGCACAGAATCCGTACGATGCGGTAATAATGGAATATCTACGAGGAAAGACGATCCGTATTACACGCCGCGAATTAGAAATACAGATTGCCGCTTCCTTTGAGAACGTCTCACGACGCCTCCCTGTATAAATCGTATTCAAATATCATCGGCGCGCTACATGCAGTATGCGCTACTGAAAAAATCCTGATTTGTAAATTGATCTTTAGCTATAAAGACAATATCTTATAATTCAATTATGATACATGACAAGAATGATCCTTAAATTCAACAGGAGTCCCGTTATTCCTAATACGCAATAGCAATAATGGGATACCGCTGTTATCGAATAACACATCTCGACATATCACCCTGTTTCGCATAATTAATATCATTTTCTAAAACTCCACACAAATACTTTGCGGATAAACGTAGAATTAAGTACTACAACAGTTAAGATAAAAATGTAACTAGAAAAATGTGCGAATAGAGGAACAGATCCTTCGTGATTTTTGTACATCTCGATTGTGGGAGGGGTTAGTTTTGCATATCTATGTGCGATCTATATTGTAACCTCAAGGGTGGGTCCCGGAACCTCCATCTCGTCACGTAAACGAACTTCAACGTGTGATCTTTACCTAATAATTCGTTATTGCACAAAATATCGATCTGCGGAGAAATAAAGGCGAATTAATAAATGACAACATTGATGTTATTTCGTATTGTCGCCAGCTATACTTACATCTCTATATTTTTCCATGCCGTTCAAAGCCTTCTTGGCGATAAACTTTTTCATATGCGTTATCGTAGCCTGAGCCGAGCATCTGATAAACCTTCTCTTTAGAGTCTTTAAACTCGAGTTTGTACACTCCAGACATACGTTAACCTGCCAATTTGACGCGTTAGTTTTAATCCTGATTAAATATTCCAATCTCGTAAACTTGTGTTCTTGACGCTGGATTTACCTGTTCGTCAGTACGATGATAATCCGATTCCGCGTGTGCATCCGCGTTTGCCTTTTCTTCCTCGATTTCGCCAGCGTTGGGTAAAATATCTTTGGGACAAGACAAACCTCTGGCTCGGTAAAAGTCTCTCTCCCTCTTGATCTCGTCTGAAATAAATAACATTTCCGTCAATAGCCGAAAAGAGAAATTGCTTTTGGAGAAAGGGAGATCGAAAACCGAAACAAAGTTCTTACTCTCTTGAAGATCGGGAACCAATTTGTAGACTATATCCTGCATAGTTCTGTCGAAGCTGATGTACTGAAGCGGATGCGACTGGTGTATGACAATTTGGCATGTCGGACAGGTGTGCTTCTCCTCCAGATGCTTCACCAGACAGCTCTTGCAGAAGGTATGCAAGCATTCGGTAACCGTAGTGGCGTCAATCAAGTATCCCCGACATATCTTGCACGTTATGTGACTGTTCAGATTTTTCAACTTTATCCTTCTCTCCATGGCATCGATAATCACCATTTAACAGAGAGATGTTATCTGTAACAATGGACTAATGATTAATTAGGCACGAATACTGACAGAGGGTTACTGGAAAAAGAAGGTTGGAGTCAGGAAAGGTAACCGCTCAAGGAGGCAACAGGTTTGAGGAAATATAAACTATTCTGTAATTCTTAAATGGTAAAAAAGCTGCGCCACGACGATATAACGATAACGACACTGTCGTCAAGAGTTACAGAGAGAGCGATGGGCGCGTGGGATGTATTTTACATCCCACAACAGCTTGATAAAAATGAATGTTCTGGACTCATTTCAATACAGAAACGATTATTATAGAAAAACCATTAAAATTAAAGTTTCCACCTGTTAATATACTTCAAGATATATGTCCAATGATGAATAATATTAAACAGTAAACAAAAAATATTAATTGGTTTGATATTTATGGCGCAAATAATGTGGGGTGTAATTTATGCTCCGCGCGCCCACTGAAAGGGAGTTAAGTTAACGGAATCAGGGCCCAAATCGGGTTCAACTCGTCTCGTTGCGAACGCACGAAGGACACGATTACAACGGTGCGCCGAGCGACCACAAGGGCACAAGAGCGGAAAGTGGGTTATCGGATTCTAACCTCAATCGCGAGCGTGTCGCACGGCGGTGCTTCGCCAGCCTCTACTCGTCGCGGACTTCTGCGGGGTAGATCCGCGAAGCATTCGGCAGCATTCTCGCACCTCGCGCTCCACGGCGAGCGACTCGCAAAACCAAGGGTTTTTTTTTTAACAAAAAATCTGCTTTGGAAAAACAACTCAGTGGCCAAACATTACTCATACGACAACAAAACGGGGACCGAAGGCGGACTGATCGCGGCGCCGCCGCCCGATCGCGTGCGACTCGCAGCAGACTTCAGACCGCTCCTCCGCGAGCTCCGACTCCTGGCCCTCGTTGCGGGCGGGCCTTTAAACCTTGTGTGTCTAGAAATTGCTCAATTGTCGAATTGTTTAAATGTGTGATTGGTTAATTTTTCTCCATCTGAGATCTCGGCGATCTCGGAGCAATTTCCCGCATCAACGTGGACACAAGGGCTTTAAAGTGAGAGTGCGCGACAGGTGGCGCCACGGGCGCGACGGAGCGCCTTGACAGCGGCGAGCGGCGAGGAACGGAGGGTCGAGGAGGGACACGCACAAAGCACAACCTGCACAACGGAACGGTTTCGTGAGCAGAGCAGGCGGAGCGGACGCGCGAAAAGCGAAGAACGCGACGTTGTGCAGTAATCGTCGAGAAGCCGCGGTCGTTCATTATCCGGCGAGAACTGCGGGATACTCGCCCGGCGAGGGAACACACGTGCGACTCTCGCGCGTCTTCGTGTCGTCTAGGTTATATTCAGCGCGCACACGGAGATCGGGGTAACAACCGACCGGAGTCAGGAGTTGATCTTTCGTTGCCTCGACGCGGAAGCGTGCCCGCGAGCGGCGCGAAGGATTAGAGCGACCGAGGAGGAACGGCGAGGAAGACGAGAAAAAAGTGAGGTTAGGCGGTTTTTTTCTTTCGTACTCGGCGGAGGCCCGCGCGATCCGTTTAGGCTGCATTCGGGGAGCGCGCTATTAACGCTATTGCATCAGTCCTATCTTTATCGCTCATTAGGTGTAAAACGAGGAAACGAAATAAGCCAAATAGCGCGCTCCTCGAACGCAGCCTGAACTTGGAAGGTTCTCGCGAGCCTCCGGCGCTGATGCGACTTGTGTCCATTTCTATCAATGTAGATTAACTTTAATCTCGGTTTAACTTACTTTCTATCTTTTTCCAACTCTGAACTAGAAAAAGATGAAAGGTAAATGAACCAAGATTCAAATTAACCTGCGTTGATAGAAATGGACATCAATCGTTCGCGCGTTTGATCCGTAGATCTACCTGTCGAATCGCATCGCGAGAAGAAAAGAAGACGTCGAGAGGGAAAGCGAGCTTCAACGCGCCGAGGGGCGCGGAAGAAGTCCGATCGACGTCGATCGTCGATCGCGAGAAGGCGGGACGTATTTACGGAGCACTCTGTGTAGCGCGGCGAAGGACAAAGCAGGAATTTTTTCGCGGCAGAAATAGCGAAATCGCGAGGTCGATCGCTGCCCGTCGCATTTGCCTTCGAGAAGCTCGAGGAAAGACCCGCCGTCGCTTTTTAAAAGAAAGAAAAGAAATCGTTGCCTTATCATTTTGCGTCGTCACGATAATAACGGACGGCGCGTACGTTTGTCGGCGGGAAGAATAAACTAAAGAGGATTAGATAAAGAGATAAGAGAAGATGGAGATTAAGCGAAAGAGAGGAGCAGACTCGACCGCGTATCGCGGCGCGAGGATTTTCGCGCGAATGTATTCGTGGAAATAAAAATCTAATAATTACAATTTGTTTTAATCCCGGTGCGCGAATACTGGCGAGGAAAGGGAAAAGGTAGACGTGTTCGAGGACGAACTTTTTTGTCCCCCTTCTCGTCAGAACAGCCTTCAGATTGTAACGGCGAAACAATAGGCCTGTTATTCGTCGGCCAAACTCCTGCGTTGCCTTCTTGTTATTTTTCTTACCATCAACGTTTCGTTTCAAGCGCAAAAAGTTTTTTAACGTAGCGCGGTTACACGAAGAACAGGTCTTGCATAGGGTATCGCGGGTAACGAAACGCGCGATAACGTAGGATTATTTTTCGCGTGCTTATACCGCTTATTGGGAGATGGAAACTTGGCGCGATAGACTGGCCTGCGAGCGAGGATCTATCGATGATCGCGCGACTGTTTAATTTACAGAGATAATCACCGTCGCGCAACCGCCGTTTAATTATGACGACCGTAGACCCGGATGACGATGTCGAGAAGCTGCCGCATATACAGTGGGACAGTGCGGCGGTTCCCGGGCCATCCGGCTGCATGTTCCCCGGCGAGATGACACCGTTGGAATGCCAAATAGCCGGTCATCCCTTCAGTGGCGAGAAACAAACTATTGGTAAGCGGTAATTTGATTTAATTAATATTTGAAATTGGATGAATGACATTATTTACAAATTTATGCGTAAAACAGCAAATACATTTTGCAAAGTGCATAAATATAATTAAAATGTATAAGAAAAAGATGATAAGTTTGCTAGAATTCGGTTTTAACATTTTTTTTTTTATTAAGCGGTATCCATAATTAATGTAGAGAATCTAAGCCGATTTTTAGTACTTTTTGAATTTTTTAAAAAAACCTAAATTTGAGAAAGTTATAGCTTGCTAAAGTTTCTTTGATGACGGCAACTTCAAAGGGTATGACGTCATTTCTTATATAAGAAATGACATCACAGCGCATTGTCGTGTACTATATTTTCTTCAATTTTGAAGATATTGCAAAAATTCAAAAAGTTTACAAAGAAAGTATGCCATGATCTATCAGACCGCTTAATAAAAAAAATTTATGTTAAAACCGAATTGCCGAAATATTTTTGGAATTTGAAATATTAAACGTACTTTTATCTTTAATGTATATTTATATTTATTAGCAAAAATTCGAAAATTTTGAGATATTTTTGAAATTGGCTTGATTTATTTGCATCTAGCTTGATATTAAATTAACATTTTTTATTCTACTCCAATTTCTTTTCTGCACATGTATCTATACATGCTTAAAATACATCTTAATAGTCAAGGTCAATCTACCTTCTACATATTATTTTCAATGTGCTGATCTGAAGCCAAAACGAAGCGGTGCTTTTCCTGCTTAATGCAGAATGTTTGATTTCTAAAATAAAAACATACAAAGCTATTAATATTTTATAACGATAGAATACAATTATGATTGCGTACATAAACATGTGTGTTTATTGAACAACTTCATAAAGGATTGTTCGTGATTGCAGGTATGCTGGTATGCACACGGACTGGCCGTATACTGAAACCGGCGACTAAAGTGATCCTTGGCGAGAGAGAAATTGCATTCTACGAAAACTTGAAGAATTCTCATGATCCCGTCGCAACGGAGCTAAAAAAATTCGTTCCGCGTTATTACGGCACCACGGAACTGCGTGTCTTTAATAACCGTAAGGATTTTCTTGACACAGCCCGCAAATGTGATACGATGACCTTGTGAATAAACTGTGAAATAGAACCTAACTCTTTCAAAACTTCCGTATATCACGTGTGCGCGTATATATAATATATGTGTATATATATATGTATAGATGATATATATGTATGTAACTTATATATATACTTACATATTATCTGTAATTGTAATATAAGAATTAATTAATCGAGCGTGAGATGTGAATATAATATTTGGATGATTAAGTATATTCTCTATCTAGATATCTTTTCTTTACTAAACCGTTTTGTCCGATAACAGGTACGAAATTCCTCATGCTTAGGAATATTACAAAGGGTATGGCCGAGCCATGTGTGATAGATATCAAGATTGGTTCTCGCACGTGGGACCCTTTAGCCACGCCAGAGAAGAGGAGAACGGAAGAACTCAAGTATGCCGAATCGAAGCGTACTTATGGTTTTTGTATAACAGGTTATCAAGTATATTCTGTCTTAACCGGACAATTAAGGAAATATGACAGAGATTATGGCAAGCAACTCGGTGTCGCGGGCGTCGTGGAAGGTATCTGCTTTAGAGTTTTAGAAGACATACGAAATTGATAAGAAAAGAAAAAAAAACGAATAACTGTTCAATGCAATTGAATCCAAGTATTAAAAGTCTATTTCAGGACGTAGGGGTGGTGAATATTCTTAAATAACCGGGATAGCCTGCTTTCGATTAAGGTTAAAGTTAAGTCTTTTAACTCATTGATCACAAATCGAGATTATTATACCTTCCAATTTTGATACTAATGAATGAGGGACAAAGTTTTAATTCTAAAACATTGATAAAAGCTATTCCGTTATGTCAGAAAAAGTATATCTTCTTAGGAATAAAAAAGTATAATTAGTATCGCAATCCATTTTATTTCTTTTTAAAATATTATTTATGTAATTCAGAGTAAATCATATTATCACCAAACGATAATTTTACATCGGCATTCTAGAATCTTAACAATAAACATTAGCTCGGGTACATGACCAAAAAGAAAAGAGAATCTTTAATATGTGTTTTAATCTAATCTAGTGATAAGACTGTTGAACTTTCCATTTTTCGAAATCGTGTTAATATTCTTCTTGTCTTCACGCAGCGCTGGATGACTTCTTGAACTTGATACCTGGAAAACCAGTCTGTCGGCAATTGGTCTCCGAAATCTTGACGTATCTGTACAAGATCGAGCGGCTCTTCAACATGCAGCGGAAATATCGTTTCTACTCCAGCTCACTTCTGGTCGCCTACGACGCCCAACACTTACGGCAGCATTGTCCATTGAAAGATGATAGTTCTGTCCCCCATTCAGTGCCGAAAGTCAAAGAAATGATATGTGGATCAGTCCCCTGTAAAGTACCTAACCAGTATTCATCTGGAACGAACGATTTAATGTTCAAATCAAGGATGAAGAGAAGTATGAGCGAGCCTGTGTCAATGCCGTGCGAGCAGATACCTAATGAGAGCAAATCTTGCAACTTGAATGCCAATGTGGACCGGTTATGTCGATCCAGCCCGAGCCATTTTTCATTTTCGTGCACGAACGATGTTACGAAGGATGATGATGTTCCAGTGGACAAGTGCAAGTGGGTCAGAGTGAGGATGATTGACTTCACGCACGTCTTTCCGGGAGAGAATAACGAGTTGGATCGAAATTACCGGGATGGCATCCAGATGCTAATCCGCCTCTTAAGTCTGATCAAGAAGAGCGATTGCATGCATTAAAGTTGTTTCTCCTAATCAAAGAACGTATTACTTGTGACGATGTTCCCGGAAGTGAACGGAGAAGATTATAGAAGATAAGATTCAGACAAGGATATATTGATATGGCGAAGTGTCTGTCATCCATGTTATCGGATCTAGATATCGGGATGACATATCGAGAGGACACGATAAATCGGTAGCGACAAAATCTTTGACAACAATCGTCAAACTAAGAGAGGACATTGTTCATTTGAGAGCTATTGCGGCAGCTCATTGGAGAAAAGAAAATACTAAAATTTAAAGAAATCTGAGAGCATTTCGAATATAAAGGCCGGAAAACTGCAATTTGATGAAACTTGAAGCAACGTATTTCTCTCGAAGGTCTGATTTCAATAGTAATTACTCAACAAAGAGTGAAGTACCGTGAACCAAGACTCTTCCGCGAGACTTAAAATTAAGATACAATGAGAGAAGCAGCCCGACATGGGCACACAATCAATTCTGAAACGGATTCCAAAAGGATGTCTTCTCTAGGATAAAATAATTAAGACTTTTATACTTTGCCAAAAAAAAAATTGTAATGCGATGTATAGAGGAATGATATATTTCTAGGAATTTCGACCCTTCGCGTTTGCCGTGTGAAGGTTTCACAAATTTACAGTCGGGTACAAACAGGAAAAGAAGACAGAGAACATTTTATTCTAAATGTCCAACAACCATACGACAATAAGTCGCACTTTGTAAACATACACACACCGTTCTGCAATGGCGAAAAGTTCTTTAATGGTATCATTATTAATTCTGCCATTACATATATTTATGTTACACGCATTACCTGATAAAAAAAAAAGTGCAGATTATTGTAATTGTATAACAGCAGCAATAAAACATTACGATGTAAAGTGGGACGCGAGCATTTATTGAACATTCTATTGATATTCATTTATTGGTATCGGTAATGAAGCAGAATCCGTGACAAAACTCTTAGATATTAAAAAATAACTTTAACAGATTAATATAATTCTTCGTTACTTAACAAATGGCAAATCTGTATAATTGGGATTAAACGATTGGTTTCCAAGGATCTCTAATTATACTTTCATGATTTAATCATAAATACAAAATGAATACTCACCGTCTCTCTTAATGGCTGTGAAATGACGATTATCTTATCCAACGATAGTAATTTTATCGTTTTTTATTTTTTTTACAGCTACTTTTTTCCACTTGTCGTCAGCGCAATAACAGGTAGACTCGTTGTCGTATAATATTTTATTCGCCATTCATTCGTAAACAGTTTTTACAGATCGTCAACGATCGGCGGGCGCGCCGTTGCGACGTAATCAACCGCGATAATAATTAATAATAATAATTTGCTTAATCTCTCGTATAACACTTATATAGTAATACGCGCGCGCGCGTGCCATTGTCGCACGCTGACGCGCGCGCGCGCGCGTGTGTGTGTGTAGGTGTATGTATTTTAGAATGCGCACACGAATGCACGCGCACGCACATACACGTATATACATCATATATAGAATTGTTCATCTCGATCGCATTTATTTCTCCTCCGCTACAGCATCCCTTTTACTTACGCTCGCCTCGCTAACGCTTTCTCGTTCAATTTCGATAAGTGCTTTAATCGAGAGCTGATCGGAACTTATTTGGGATACACTTCGCTCATCTATAACGAGGTCGGGACTGGCTTCTTTGGAATCAAATTATTTAGTTTGAATTCCATCTTCTTGATTTTTCCCGATAAATCATATTTTAAATGACAAAGAGGCAATTAGAAATACTGAATTTATCGCGTAGAATTTAAAATCCAGATCGATAAAGTTGCATTAGATTGATGGAATCGGTGTTGAAAAGTCAGTTAATTGCAATCACGACAGGATGCATAATTAGCATTGTCAAGCCGGTTTATAGCCGAGGCGGCGACCGACCGTAATCAATTAAACAAATTACAAATGTTCGATCGCGCTCTGGCAACGCGAATTAGTCGTCGAGCATCGCAATTTTCAGCTCTCCTCATCGCTTCTCGCCGTCGCGGAGACCCCCGTTGATTAGTTCGCGCTTATAATTAAACGAGACCGCGAACAATAACGAGACAATAATATAAGTAGCCCTATATCACATAGTAAACGCAGGCGCAACAATAAATATTGCAATAAAAACGCATTAAATAGCTAAACGTGAAAGTAATTCCGTAGGAGACCACGGGTTTCTGTTAGTGTGTACGATAAAATACGCATCATGCTAGGCTACTGAATCGTTATACGGTATAGTCGAAACGTCTCTCATTCTCTCTCTCTCTTCCATGCGCGCATTCTCCCTTTCGCTTTTCTATTTACGTAGTTACGTATAATTACAAAGCGATTCGATCGAGCGACGGCGGAATCGTTCGCGTTTCCGCCCATCGCTACGTTTTCCGCGTGAAATTCGGGATAAAATGAAGAGAACCGCGGTAAGAAGACAGATCGCTTCGCTACGAGGCAAATGGCAATAACAAACGAGGAATGCGATACGCGTTCGACGCTAAAAATTTCCCACCCTCCTTCGTCGATCACACCCCCCCCCCCCCCCGAGCGTTCGCATCCTCGCCCGCGCGCGACGTGCTTCCCTTATTACAATAATTAGTCTCGCTGTAACATTACGACTAACGGGTTAATTCGCCCATGATTACTTCAGTTGCTTTTATTAGCTGCTACTTTCATTTAGGTCGATATATTTAACGTATATAACTATATAAATACAGCAGGCATTCGTTATATATTTACAAATCGATCAACGCACCCCTTTTCCCATTGCTTTACTCTTTCTTTCTCTTTCTCTCTCATTCTCCCTCGTATTTTCTTAGCACACATCCACTTATTTTTTCCCTCCTCCTTTCTCTCTATTTCTCCCCTGCGACAATTTCGTGAATTTCCGCGGCGAAGGAGCGGGCCATCCGTTATTGGATTATTAAATTAAAGTCGTTCCCCACAACGATATTGCCACGCGTCTTCAGTCTTATAAATTCAAATTATCTGCGCTAATGACTCGAACAATTTTTCTAAGCGTCAGCGATGTGTTAATTAAAATTTATCGTCCATATAATCATCGACAATCGCGTGTGATTGTTATCGTTATGAAATAATCAGCAATAATGCTAACGATCATATAAAAATAATTGATTTAGAAGATACGCCATTTAGGGTCTGAGATCTTGGTAATCTAATAATAATTCTGTGTGTATTTAGTACACATATTTCCAACTTAATGAACTGAGCGCCGATTATGGCGTTTCTTCTAAATTGATTGTACACTCTACCGGCAGGAATGCCTGGACATAATACATATACAAATACATGTACATATATGTCATATACATATCAAAAGGTCCAGGCATTCCTGCCGGTCAGTGCACATCGTGACGTCTTGTTTCTCTTGAAAATAATCGAGTGTTAATCACCGCGACAAATCACGCGAAACCGATATCAGGAAAGATCGAAGACACTCGGCATTGACGACGACGACGACGACGACGACGACGGACAAGGACGTGGTGGAGTTCGCGCGCACGATACTCGAACGCGCCGCCTAAATTCACCCGACAAAGACCGCTACGAAATTGAAGAATTACGACGGTAAGCTCGAACAATTGCGCGGCTGGCCCACGCTGAATTAGGCTCCTCGGCCTCGTCCGCGCCCGGCCCCGGCCCCGGCCCGAGGATCTCGATCTTATTAGCGCGCTGAAAGGAAGGACCTTGGCGGACAATGGCGCGTCCGATTGCCAGAGTGAATCGGACCTGTCGCGCGGACCGTTGTCCGTCCGATTCAATGGATCCTAAGTGACCCAATTGGACGTTGGATTTTTAAAGCGGATTCGCATTTTCGATAATCAGCGTTCGACGACGACCGGCCGCTCGTATCTTCCCTCGGATGAACCGATATCCCTTTCGAATTACGCTGCGCAGTTTCCTTATTTTTCGTGTTCGGAGAGAACAATATCTGATCGAGTTCACCGGAAGGATAATACAGATGCCAAGATCCACGCGAAACCTTCGACGTAACGCTTCGCGGAGTCCCGAGAAAATCGAGGGATTAAAATTTCGCGCGATGGATTAATAAACTTGCGAAATGAGACCGAAATAGAAAAAGCGCTATCTCGAAGCTTTCGCCGTCCTAAAATTACTTAAGCGCATTTTATTCTTAATTTCAAATACCCCCGCTCCCGCTCCTTCGCCCGCAGCTTCGCCCGCAGCTTCGCGCTCGGCGTGTTATCCTAACAGCGTGAAGTAAATGTTTACAAAACTGCTAGATATCTTCGGTGAGCTCGCGTTAATAAAACGTTAGAGGCGAGTATACGGCGGATTAAAATTACAAAAAGGAGAAGAAGGCCATGCTTTATCTCTCGTCTTTTTCATCACACACACATACACACACATGCGCATCGCGTGCTAGAAATATACGTGTAGCGAGAAAGTGCTCGGTTTCGCACCCTTATTCGGGGGGTGGCCGTCCCGGCTGCTTTTCCTCTCGTTTCCGAGGAACGACGACGCGACGCTACGGCCAGGGATATTCAGAAAGGCACTCGGCACCCCTCCACAAAGATCCGGAAATCAAAATGTACAAAACGAATACGGCGTCGCCGGAGCGTCGCGAGTCGTGCGGCCACCATTCGGAAAAAAACGATGGCTCCGTCCCTCACGTTGTGCTGCTAATTAATTGTTTGCTCTCTTACAGTAACGCGAGGTCGATCGGGATGGCAGGGAGACGCGAGATAAATACGACACCGTGATACTTATCACTCGGAAAAATTGTGAGGGATTAATTTTCAAGTATATCGTTAAGAATCTCTTCTCGAGCCCCATGGCTCACATATACGACGCTCTCCACGTGAAATTATCGCCGAATTAGTCCAGTGAAAAATGTGTAAAAAAAAAATGTAAAAATCCATGACAAAAAGGTGGAAACGGCGGCACGGCGAGATGTGGCTCTCAAATTAAAAATTCCAAGTACGTGTAAAGATAAATTCAGCGTCTCTATTGTGATTGTGCGATGCGCGATGATTGAAAGTCGCAATAACCGGCTCTCGTTTAATTCGTGCGTTAAAATTATTCGTCAACCGGGAGGGGAGGGTAAATCGATTTGGCACGTTGCTTACTTTTACAATTAGCCAATGCATTGACGAGATTGCGAAAATACGCATGACGCATTTCAACGACGAAAAAAAAAATCGTCACCGCGCGTTTAAGTATTGATCGAGCTCTATTATATCGGCTTTGAATATTAATAGACGCCTTTTTTTTAGGACACTTCGTATGTAGGACGATATAAATGCACTATGCCGCAACCTTTCGATAAATTTAATATTGCTCGCCACTGTTACGACACGTAACAATAAACAAGTCATAATCGATATCTCTAGAAGATTATCGCTATGTCTGTAACATCTACAAAAATCTCTACCTGATTAAGTTTTCATTACGAGCTCGAAAGGTCGGTTGACGTAAAAAAAAATTTAATTTTCTCGAACTCGCAAGATTAACAATAAGATTGAAAAAACAGTGTTATATAATTATACAGTGTTATATAAAAAAAACACGCATATTATTCTAGACGTCGGGTGATCAACGATCGACGATTTCAAGATCGCGGGTGCAAAAATGGCATATGCTTACGTATTTTAGAATTCACGGCGATTGCGATCTACTCGAGGACGCTTCAACGAATTTCCGCGATTTCTCTCTCTCTCTCTCTCTCTTTCTCTTCGATTCGCCAAAATTTGACTGTTGCGTTAAGAAGGCCCCTTTTTCTAGGAAGGTAAACGTGAAAGATTAATCACAGAAGTGTACGCACACACGCAGAGAGAAAACGCGTCCCATGCTGGTACTCGAGGATCTCGTTCGCACCGGGTAGCAACAGCGTCGTCCCAAGTAAATCAGCTCTCGATCATATACGTATACGTTTTAGTTAACTTTCATGATGTATACATATAGGTACGTACATATACATATATATGTCATATATAAATATATATCTATATAATATATATATATATATATTATATTATATTATATAATGTATATATCTCATATAGGTATATACATATACATGATTATACATATATGTAATTTTATACATATGGCATGCGCGTATAATCGACGACGGGTAATTATGGCCTCCCTTCGTCGTTTCCAATAATAATCTGCAATATATCGACGTCTGCCGTAGACGAGGCGCGGCGAAAGACACTTTTTCCTACTTTACACACAAAAAAAGATTAAAAAAAAAACTCCGACACGCGAGAAATACGAGGCACACTAACGTGGGCTGTTGTTTGGCCGGCGCGCGCTGTTCGCGGCCGATTGGCTCGAGAGCTAACGATATTCGTACGACTTCTGCGAGTCGTAGGAAGTGAAGGTAAAATACTTTCGTTTTTCCATATACCTACTCTCATCTGGCATTCGGCACCGGCAACGTGACCGCGCGAGATCGAGTCCGGTTCACAATTCAAAATGTAATTCTGCTAAAACGCAAGTTTCTAAAAAAAAAAAAATAAATAAAAAATAAAAGTAAAAAAGATTTTATCTTACAAATAGTCCAATAACGGTGAAGACGGATACAAAAATAAACATTTAGAAACCGACGAGTTGAGAATTTCGAACGTATTGCGGATGCCTCTGCGGCGATTTCGAACGAATCGCGTAGTTCTCCCTACACGCGTTCTATCCCAGTAATTAACGAAAGAAATTTAATGTATAAAGAATGTAAAGTACGCGATATCCTTCGGAGCATTCCGCATTAAATTATAATTGATCATTCTGCATTCGGCGGATCGAGCCACGTTTGAGGCTTGGATGCCGCCCTATATAGATGAGAGAATGCGGGGTTTGTCACCGGAGTTTCTCTCTCCGAAGGTTGTCTCTTTCTCTCTATGCAATTACTGCAATTTCTTTCTAGGCGCTTCCCCAGCGAATCGCTCGCCTTATCGCAAAACTAACAACACGTACACCCGATATAACAAAGAGGAGTTGACGCTCCTCGAAGCCATTTCTCAGAGCCGCGCGACACACTTTTCCCCTCTCGCGAAAGATAAACGGAGTCGGACAGCGCGGACTCGTCGACCTTCGGATCGGAAGTTTTGTCCTCCCTGGAGCCGGCGATCGATGGCTGCCGCGACCATCCTGCATTCTTATGTAATACTGGCACTCGAGCGCGAGTACGCTCCGTTTGACAGAAACTTTTCTCTCTTTAGGCCCATACATTTCCACGGCTCGTCTCTAGCTCTCGCGAGAAAGCACGCGTAAAATCAGTCGAGTGAGATAACGGGTGTACTTGGCAATTTCTAAACGGGATATGTCTCTACGATACCCTTTTGGCTAACGATTTATTTATATCGCGGTTTCAATAAATTTCCTCTCGCGGCTTCGTGTTTGAGCAACGTTAATCCCGATTCCTCTCTCACTTGGTTTGCGAAAAATAAAATCGCCAATTTTGAACATTTACTACGAAAACAAAGTCACATGCAGAATACTGACCCGCGTCTCTCTTCGGCTAGATCTAACTCGCAGTGATAAAGTACTCTCCTCAATTCTCTAGGGTCAGAAGGCATGTCGCTTGTCCCTTCAAGCAAAAAGCATAAATGCTACGCATCTTGCAAAATTACAAACTTAGAAAAAAGTCTCTTTTCTGAATATAAACCTTGGAAAGAGACTGCATTTGTTTTTCAAAACGTTAATTTCGAGTTCTACCGAGGCGAACATTACGCGCTCCAGTTCCTCGGTATCGATATCTACACGAAAAAGAAAACTAGCGTTCCTGTCGCTGTAAAAAAAAAAACTGCACCTGGAAAAAACATCGCGAGATTTATCATCGCGTTTTACAAGCGCGACGTCTCAGACTCGGTTCGCCCATCGCTTCTTTCCGTTTTGCCGTTCTTTTCTCTCTCTCTCTCTCTCTTTCCCTTTCTCCCCATCATATACTTTTACAAACCGTTCCTCTTTTTCCCTCTCATACACACACATGCATATACGCACACAGACACACACGCATACACATTCCATGCGCATCGATATATCACTGAGAACCGCGGCGTCCTTCCAGCGGGATCGCGGCAGGAACAGTTCGCTTCGCTGCCCAACACGCCACCGATAAATTATCAACGGCATCGCTCGTACGCGATTCCGGCGGGCGGAAGCTACCCGTGAACCCCTCCTTACGAGGCTGCTCATCGGCATTCACGCACGCCGGAAGAATCCCGCGCGAAAAGCGGATAGGTCCGACCTGCTAACAATCCTCCGATCGCGACAGAGAAACTAGTTTAACTCTCCTTATCTACGTTCGCCTACGTCCGGGCCGTTAAATATCGCGATCGAAATCGTACTCTCGTTGCGGCAATTCGACCGATTAAGCGATAAGCGATGCGCAGACGATAGCGAGGGCCACGGATGATAGCAAGATCGTGGACGATCCCGATCCGTCGTGGGGCGGACCGTTCGGATGAGCCTTCATCGACGAGTCTGAAATGAAGAATCGCACACATTCATTTTTGGCAAATCAAATCTCCTCTCGTCGTTTCAACGAAATGAATATTCCTGTCTTTGTTAAATATTTAGAGAAAAAAGGTCTCATCACCCTTATTTTAGAATCGTATACCTTTCCATTCCTCGTATCGGCTAATTTACATCTTCTGGACTTCTCATTATTAATCCGAATCCCTTCTATTATTTGAATCCCATTTGTTGAAATGTATTCTCAAATAATATTCACGTGCACGCAAAATGTATTTGATAACGAAGTCACGCCAGAATATCAGGATATTTCGCGCGTTATTTTACAGTTGCAGCTGCCTTTTGCGTTCGACACATAATTAAATTGTACCAATTCCCGTAACGCTTTTTCATCGAAATAAAAAAAGAATTTTTTCTCTCTCTCTCCTTTGTCGTGATATATCGGATAATGCGCCATTCGATACACGCGCTGTAGAACCCTGCCGAGAACCGAAGTCCTATCGCTAATAACGACACTCGATACGCGCCATACACAGGATTCATCTGACAATAGAGTTTCCAACCGGGAATGCACCCGGGTCTGGCATTATCGAGATGCAAATCAATGCGGACGTGCGGGGATACAGTACCTGTACCTGTCGTGATGGGACCGTTTCCGGAGCCGGACGCCTCGTCGTCGTCGTCGCCGTCCTCGTCGTCGTCGATCTCGCCGTTACCGTGCGGCCTAAAGCCCGGGCTGTCCCCGCTTCCGGAACCGTCCAGGGCCTCGTCGGCCAGGAAGGCGTCGGGCCCGAAGTCGGACGCCAATTGGGACTGCACCACCTGCCGCAGAATATCGACCACGTGTTATTCGGAAGTGAGTCATTTAAATCAAATAAGATTAATAAAATTGCCAATAAGATCCAAGCGCGGTAATTAGGGCGCAATGTATTTTATTATCAATAGACAAATTAAAGGAAATAGTGCTACATTAGCGTTTATATCGCAATTACTGGCCCTAATTACTGGCTCTTATTGCGAATTTGAATAATCTTTGATTTATTCGAGAGAGCCTCCATACATTTTTATTATATTGTGTTTAAATACTTTAGATTATTTCTGAGGGCGGGTTCGCATCCTATCGCTATAATTACTTCCCGCTGTCTATAAATAGTATCATATTGTTAGAAACAAGACGCTTCTCTGACGAGATTAATTGTTATCAATCGTCGCGCGGTGAAATACCGCTCGTTATACAAGAGCAAGGTGGCTGCAAATTACAACTTGACTACGAGCGTAATTGAAATCGCCGAGTAAGTGTTGGATAACGCATAATTTTCCGAAATTAATGGCCATTACGCAGCCTCGTCGGAAAAGTCGCGGGCGCGCTCTCTCGCTCGGCAACCGGCCGCGTGATCGCGAGAAGATGATAGGGATTAGCTTTGTCATTGGTAACTCATTAAAGCCGTCCCATTTACCCAAAGATCTCAATTAACCCACTTGACCCAACACAGATATAAGCAGCGTACAATTAATCGCCAACACTCGGGTCTAGTTACATCATATACGCGCGAATACAACGGAGACGTGGATTTATATTCTGCTAAAATCGACCGCCGACAAGCAGCCTCTAATCTCGCGCTCCCCCTGAACACCTCGTAATCATTACTTATTAATGCTCGCACCTGCCAATAATACCCTGAGTCCTACTATTCACCGGTTTTGCGACTTGCAGCCACGCGTATGTATCACGCCGCCCGATCGCGCGATTGTGTTATATATATACGGTGTGTATTTGAATGGACCGGTCTCGCAATTCGGGGAATTTCGAGTGAATTTCTCGTCGAGCGAAGATCTCGTTTCGCGTTTACGGAATTACAAAGTAACGAAGTTACTCGGACGAGTCCGTTCATCGGCGAGCTCATCGGTTGCTCGGACGGCAGGCGGCCAGATCGATCACGGACACCGTGTATACACGCTTATATGCGTGTCTCACGACACTCTAATCAGAAGTAAGCGGCCCGATTCCTCGGCACGCGAATTAACATGCGTGTGGGCACTATGCGTGTGCCCTACACGCGGCGGTTGCCAACTTTAATGACGCCGCAGATACCGTGGAAGAATACGAAGCGGCTGAAAGACGAAGGCGACACCCGATAATCGAACTTATTTAGAAATTGAGAAGCTTATTTGCTTAGAAATCTGTCCCCAATCTCGGTGTTTATTGCACTCCTGAACTTTCTGTAATTTTACAGTTTATGTACTTATATATAGTTTACTAATTTTATATATCTTATAGTTGCAAGTTTAATCAGTTAGAAATGTGACAGTTGCCACTCTTATGTCCATTTCTATTGGGTCATCCCATAAATAAATGCGATATAAAAGAGAGCTTGATTTATTCTTCAGCTCAAAACTGAACATTTATCGCTAGAAAATTTAAAATTAAGATGGAAAGAAGTTGTAAATAATATATTTTGGATTAAAATTAAAATGTCAAATTTTTTGTTTTATTGCAAAAATATCTCTAAAAATCCGGATGATCCAATGCAGATTAACTTTTAATTCTTAGAATTAGAAAAAGATAAAAAGTAAGTTAAATCGAGATTAAAGTTAATATGTTATACTTATGGGATGACTCAATGCAGATTAACTTTTAATTCTTAGAATTAGAAAAAGATAAAAACAAAGTTAAATCGAGATTAAAGTTAATATGATGATAGAAATGAATGTTATAAGTATATATAAGCGTAATAAAATTTTCTAAAATTAATCTTTATAAATCTCTTGTAATATAATTATCCTTTATATAATATAGTTATTTCGGAAGTGCTACTCCCTCGGCATGTGTTTGTACTCTACTCGAACGGGTTTAAGCGCACCCACGTGCGCTTTCAGGTGAAATCCATCCACGCAGCGCGACACGTGCCTCGACACACCGTCTGCGATCCCAGTCGCTCTATGAATAATTCTAGATTAGACGAGAATTTATGATTCGTCTGGTCCGTACGTCTGGTAGTCACGGGTCACCGGGCTTTCCGCACCAATGAGCTATCGCGATAACAGTTACGAATTGCGACAAATCTCGCGCTGCGCGATGAGATCTACATCCAACGCGAAAGCGAGAGAACAGGAATTTTTAATGAACCCACAGCATCTCGCTTTTTTAATTAAACTCTAAAATAGCAACAAAATAATCTTGTATAATTTTATAATTATTATAACTTTACTTACATGTATGTAAAAGTAGACATACATGTACACACACACATATCAAATTATATATATAATTTATTATTAATTACATATCTATTGCATTTGAATCAGCACACGCGAAAGGAATTTTTCATTTTACCACAAAATAATACGTGACTTTTGCTAAATTTCAATCGTCGCAAATTCCTCTCCGACGAGAGTCAGCCGCCTGTTGTTCGTCGCACGGCGTTTGAATCGGCGAACGAATGAAAATTGCGGCACGATTTAATCCGAGGGAGAGGAATCCACTTAAGACCTCAGTGACGAATTACGACTTCATGTATTCACCTGATTAATGTGCCTCAATTGATCAATGAGCGCGCTGGTGTTCGTATTGCTGGTGTAGGTGGTCGGCGTCGACGACATCGTTATCGTGAATTCAGGATTGTATCGTTGAGCGCTCAAACTGGAATCCACCACGGTTTTCGTGTATCTGAAATAAGAGAAAAAAAACGGTTGTAACAAAATCGAATTAATTTCGTGAAATTACATCAAATTACATCATATACAGGTATAAATAGATAACTCTGTAAACAAGAGATAAATGTGAAAACCATGCAATAAGACATTGAAATAATCTCTATCGTATTATAACAGAAATATAAATGTAAAATTCGCAACCGAATATAGAATTAATATATAGAAAAAAAAATATCAAAGATGTTTGCGAAATTATGTGATAATGGTATTGTCAGACTGTCGCATTTAGACTTGACTGTGAAAACGCGAACACGCATCGTGGCGTTTAAAATACAATGATCGGAGAGTTATGAATAGAATCCACCGAGTGAGCATTTCTTCCGTGAGCCTGGTTGCGTAAATCACGAGCGTTACTTCGATAGCGCGCGCGCGGCTTCTATCTTTCCGTATAAAGATAAGCTCTCTGCCAATGCACTGCACTCCAATGTGCCCAGCCAAATGAAACCTGTAAGGCAGGTGGATGTAGGTTGCTGCATATATTCATTAGAATCTTAATGAGGCGCGATATCAGTCATACTTCGAACAACTAAATTATGCAGTCGTTCCGAAGTTTTCGATTCCGCTCGACTCTTGCCTTTCTCAGATACGCGGGGATTTCCGAAACCAGTGGTCCAACACACCCGTCAAATATAAAATTAGAAATCGATTCCTCGCACGGCGTAATTTCTGCGCGCTTCGATCTCAACGTTCGCTTTTGTTTGATATTTCGCAGAAATGCGCGACGCGAACGAAGCGATCTCGGCGCGCGCGCGCGCGTCCACCGCGCATTCATCCCGCGGGCGCGCGCGGTTATCTTCCGCGCTTCTATCTTCTGCGGGGTGCTGACCGACAAAAGAGACAAATCGCTTCGCGCCGCTTCGCGGAATACGCCTTCCGCTTTTCGATCGCCACGCGATTAAGCGCCTGCGATTCAATGAACCGGGAACAAATATATCCCGCGAATGTAGTCGATCCCCAGAAGTCGATATTTCGCTTTACAAAGAGCAGCCGTTTTACTTGTATTACATCGTTCTCTCCTTTTTCTTCATAATACTTTTTATTTCAGCAGATGCTATATATAGTCGCGCGTAAAATGTGAGATACAAGCTAACATATTTATAAATATCGGTGATATCGGGTGAAAGTATAAAATAAACGAAATTAATTCGCCGCAATTTATTAATCCACGAAATCATCGTAGTTATTAAAAATGATAGTAACTAACGCATTTGTGTACTCCTGCAATCTTTCACCACTCCTTATCAATATGTTTTACATTAGCATAGGCTTCTATAAATTTTTAATTTCTCTCCCTGTACCGAAAGATCTCAATTTCGTCTGATCTACTACTTCTTTCCGCTATTATTCCCGCTATTCGCATGAAAAATATTACATCGCCAAACAGGCGTACCGAGGTATCCAGCGTAGCTAGATGGCTCGATAGCGAATTGAAATATCGCCGAAGTCGTGGGGCCGACTCTTCTTCTCGGTGCTCCTGAATGCCGGCCATTCACGGAACGACCTCCTTCGAGAGAGATCGTCCTTCACCCTTCCCTCCATCCCCCATTCGCCCCGCGCACATGTCGCGCTTCGCAGTTTTCTCGCGCCACCCCAGCATCTTCCAGCGATTTTCCCCGCGAACTTTCCGCCGCTCCTTTTCCGCTAAATCGCACCCTGCGGCATCTATCTCGAGTTATATCTTCTTTTAAAGCACTATGTAACGTGCGTAAAGTCTCCTTTACGGACTCCCTTGTCAGCTCGCGAATTTCGACGTGCAAAACTTGAGGATTATAATTTTATGGTTCTCTTAAACTTATTAGGATACACTTGTTGGAAGAGAAAAAAAGAGGGAGAAAGACTAAGAGATTAGATAAAGCGCTTCCTTTCGCGCCACACCTGTCGCTCCTTTCTCCTTTCTCTGCTTGAGTACCTCTTCATCCCTAACACGAGTACAATCCGCACGATCTCGACAGCGGAAAAGACGAAGACCCGGTGAAACGAGCAGACAAAAACTGGTTTCTCGGCGATCGAATGCGAAAACTGTCCGCATGAAAGTGATGCATTTCTACCTCGCTGCGTATTATCAGAGCGTATATAAAGTTTTGATAATGGCATTGCGCGATTGAAAAGATGAAAGAGAAATAAGTAACTCCACCCTTATCGGAAGTATATTATTTCGGCTCGAGTTCGTTTCCTCGAAAACGATCTCGTTCCGCCGCGCGCCGGTGACTCGACAGCGATCGACGCTTTTGTAATTAAAGCTCGAGTTAAATTTCCGTTAAAGTAAAGTTCGCTCGGGACTGCATAAAGGACGGAGGTAAATTCGCGAAAGGTTTGACTTTCAGTAGCCGTAACGTGAAAAGCGCTTTTTCGACCTCGCCCGACTCTCTCTCTCTCTCTCTCTCTCTCGTCTCGCGGAGGTATGCCCGTTGCAAATTGGTCAAAGAAATCCGTGAATGGCAGGAGGGGACGCGACGTGGAGACCGGGGGGACAAGAGCCTTTATATCGCGTATAGGTGAAGCATATATACGCGCCGGCATCGATCTCTCGAGCGCTTAGGAGATGGAACGTGCTTTGGGGCAAATTAATATTTCAATGCCGGGAAAGAGCGCCGTGAGACGCCGCCATTATTCCGCGGATTCCAAAAGAAAGGAGGTGCTCGTATCATTCTGCGCGAAATAGGGCATCGGTTTGATTTCCGACCTAAATACGAAAGTCGTATCCCCTGAGCCGTCCTTTGTCATTTCGCGATCGTAACTTAACACGATATCTTAAATTTAAATAATACAAAGCTTTCCTTTGTGCTATTCGTACATTAGAATACAATAAATGCAAGCGAATTAAACGCGGTTCTTATTAGAAAAGTCTTACAGTATAAAATATAAAACTAATAATATATGTGTTTTCTAATGGAAATTAAATCCAGAGATTTCCAATCTATTAATGTCTCATAAAATAGTGACAAATGACAAAATTAATTAAGACATATAATTGATGCACTTAATATTTTATGTATCTCGGAAAGAAATGTTCATCAAATTTTCTCCGAAAGGACGTAGGATCGATTTAGGAGCTATATAGATAACATTGAAATTTGTAATAACGACTGTCCCCGTTGGATTGTGTTTGCGTCGATGAATCCGGCAACGCGATCGAAATAGCCATTTTAGAGAAGGCGTTCAATCAAGATAAAATCGCCGTATCGAGCTATCGAGGAGCAGCTTCATTTTAGAATCGCTTTAATCAAACTCATTTCGCGGCAAGGAGAAGCGCTTTTATAATTGAACGGATGAACGACAAGAAGTTCGCTCGATTATCGCGGCGGTTCGTTGGTCACATTGAAGCGCTAAACGCAACTAAATTAATCGCGGCTAGTCTCCTTAATGGCCGGATACAGCGCGTTCTCACGATTGTTAGAAGATACCGATCGTCCGTCATGGAAAAGAAAACGACAATTCGGCAGGAACAAAAACCGGACGTCGCGGCTGAGAGAACAATGATAATTATTTAAGAGCTTAACAAACGCTTCTCGTTAATGAAAAAAAAAATTGATTACAAGTTTGTAATTTTATACCGTCGATTTCGCATTTCATCAAATTTTCGTCAGTTCGTCGAATTTGCATCGCAATTAATACCGCCAAAATTAAAATTGGAAGCAATAATTCAATTCAGTCCAATTGACTTAATTTTAGGCTTTTATTTAAATCAATTAGAAGTTTTAATTTTTTTATTTTCTATTGATCGTCCTACAAATCGACGAAGGCCGAAAAGGCAGTGGTTTATCTTTAAAGTCTGATCTTCGGCTCACCTCTTAAAAGGGGGCATTTTTACTAATGCCTCCGCGACAAATGGGCCGAGCCAGACCTCTCTATGAATGACTCGCTATTCACGTCGCTAGAACATTGATATTCCAGCAGATGCTATCTCTCGAAATGTCTCGATATATATATGCACCATCATCTAGTCGCGAATGCATTATTTATAACACATATCGTCCGCGCAATTCGTTCCCATTCGAACGACGTATCGGATAAGCGTATGCTAATATATCGTCCGCACTGTTCGACGTCAACCGAGCGTGTCGATGAAGCTGCAGCTAAATTAGAAGAATGATCGTACCGCGATACGCGCGATTCGCTGATGACGCATTGCGCGCGCGCGTGCATTCTTTATAATGTCTCAGCCTTATCTACCGCACTTATCTTTGATTTATGCACATTTGTGTTTCTTTTAGATTTATGTTATGGAAATGAATAATTTTCCGATATTCAACATAAACAACTGTAATATTCTACGATTCGCGACACGAACGAGAAATCAAGCAGACAGAAAGTTTGTTTTTGGGGAGAAAGAGGCGGAAAATTAATATAGAGCTTTTGCGTAATTTTATCTGGCGGTAATTGCAACTCAACTAATGAACCGCCAACTCTTCAAGCATTCTGCAAAACGAGATAAAAGTTTAAACGTCGCTTTCGGGGTTTCCGCACGCGCACGCTCGGTCCACGATTTAATTACAGAGTTCCACCGTGAAGTATGTTTCACCTGATTCTTTTTCTCGGTAAACGTTACTCTCCGGCCCTTTGTACCGTAATTCGCATAACGCACGCTCCAATTATTCCCGAGGCACTCCGCTTGTTTGTCAGCGATCTCGTCTCGCGGCAGGACGACGAGAGATCGATGAATACGTGCGCGTGAGCGCTCGGCGCATCGTCATCTCGTTACACGCGTTTACGCGAAGGTGTCGGGATTCGCGACGTGTCGACGCACGTATACTCGCGTCGTCGTCGATGATCCAGTCATCGTCGGGGAACTCGCTTTTCGAAGCGGGTACGTGTCGCCGCTGGCCAGCCCTTGGCGCGCGGCGCGGCGCGACGCGGAGCGAAGCGGCTCGCCAGCCGTATCGGACACGGACGATATACGGTTTCAGCACGCGATTCAGATATCAGGTTCCGCGGTTCATCACGACGATCGAACCGCGGAGTGCGTGCGTCGCCGGACGGGATTAATTGGGATTACTCCTGCGTTTAGAGCGAGCGCGCGACGCGCTCGGCCGCGAGTATTAACAAACGACGCGTTGAATTATCGATGACTGTGCCATTCAGCCATTCGCGGAACGTTATTTCGTGAGTAAATGGGAAAACTGGTCTCTCGGTACCGCGCTACATCCGTGTTTTCGACAAACAACTTTAGCGAGCTTTTACAACGTGCACATCTTCGTTCCTTTAACCCTTAAAGGCTACTAGGTCCATATATGGACCTAGAGGCTATTTCAACACTCATTCATGTTGCTAAAAATTATTTTCAAAAATTGATGTTTTTGGACAATCATTAATATTAATTATTGGCAATTTTTCTAATTCTACTATATTCCTCAGTCGTCTCTCCTATCTCTATTTCATACATAACTTATTTAAATTTGCTTGATTAGACCCAGAGTCATACGCCATCAAAGTTACGAGATCTAATATATGGACAATGCAGTCTCAAGTGGTTGAGACTTGTAGCGTAGCCTTTAACGGTTAAATACAGTCTTGCGAATCGATTTGAAAGGGAATTCTTCAAATCGTTGTCTAACTTCCGTGACTAACGTTTTCGCGCGAGAGATCTGAGGATCGATCTCGCGAAATGGGAAGAGATACGTTCGCGCGATCGGCTCGAGGCGAGAGAAGCGGCGAGAAATAGCAGCGCGGATGATCTTGCGACATCGTGACCTCGTGGCTAAGATGTTTGGCTGCCGTCGGTCCGGCCGACCCGCGGCATCGCGCGCGGGCGCGCACACACACGTAGGTGCATTACGTAGGCGCGCAATATTATCCGCGTTATCCGCGTGTACGGGCGCATGTACGTGTGTGTCGGCACCCACACGCGCGCCGTCAGGTACCGGGCGACGCTGCGGCGCCCGTTTGCTCTCGTTGCCAGACTCTTTGGCGGCTTGGCGTCCCACAGGCTACGCGCTGCCATCTCTCCCCTCCCCCCTCGCCACCTCATCCCGCCGTCTCGCCCTCGAAACACGTCATCTTCCTCTTCCTTCCTTGGTCTTCGATCTTTCTCTCGCCGTTCCACGGTTCTTCTTCTCCCCTCCCCCGGGCCCCCTTTTCGTGCCGTTTCCAACTACGTCGTCTTCGCCGATGTCCGAGAGTGGCATTGAGGAAGTGTTACATCTTTCTTTTTTCAGCTCCCCTGCCCCTCTTTCTCTCCGCGCTCCGAAATCTTCTAGCCGAGAAGGCTGCTGTTGTCGATGCTACTGTATCATGTAGAGATCGTCGTCGCTTGATAAAAAAATTACTCCGGGTCGTGTACCTATGGTTGTATAGAGATATCTGATAGAGCAGCGTTCATTTTTTAAGGATGTCATCATATTCATACGATCTTAATTCTGTCAGCAGGATGCCGGGATTTGAGGCGAACGTAAGAGCGAGACCGGGGAAAGGGTTCGATCGTTTAATTAATTTAATTTACCCGTGCAATATCCGAAATTAATTAAATTACGCTACCGCGTAACATAAATTATTTTCGGAAAACGAGTCGCCGTTAAACACTGCGTGAGAGACGCCCGCTTTTCAATCAACCCTCCTCCCCAGCCCACCCTCTCTTCCGTAGAATCGAATTACCGGAGAGTTGGCGAGCGCGCTCAATCGAGGGTGCCGAGCGGTTTCACTTCCCGCTCCGGATCGAATCGTGCGGAATCCTCGACGGCTTCCTCGACGGATCGAATCTCATTTAGATTTCCACAGTGAGATACTATACTCGTATGCCCGCCCGGGAGAGGCACGCGGGAGAGACAGAGAGGACGGGGGAGAGAGAGAAAAAGAGAGAGAGAGAGAGAGAAAGCTCTCTTCCGGTGGAAGCCGTGGCACGCGAACGGGCGTGTGTGTTTATTTATATGCACGTGCGCGCATCCGCGCATACGAGCGGTGACCGCGCGGGAACTCGCGTCGGCTCGGGTAAACCTGGATTTCGAGAGATTTAACGGCCGCGTCTGCCGGGAATACGTTATCGGCGCGGCGGTCCCGACTTACTCTCTCGCGCGATGAAGCTGCAGCCGGAAAATCGCATCCCGCATGTGGAATTCCGCCGCGCGCGCGCGTGACGTTTGCACGGAACCCGCCCGCGTGGAATACAAAGAGCGCGAGATACGCGCGAGGAGAACAATTGAAGAGCCAGGTAGAGGGAAGAGATCGCGCAACGTTTTGCTGAAAACTTCATTCCCGGAGGATGTTACATATGTCTCCCGCGAGACCCGCAAATTCGAGGCGTCGGAATTAACGAATCGCGCTTCAGATATCCTCTTATCGCGATATGCGGAATCTCATTTAGGCGTTCAGCTCGACGTTCGATTATCCTCCGTGCGATCGGTTATATATATATTATCGCTAAGGCAAGTCCGAAATTCGCTTTCTCTCTCCCTCTCTCTCTTTCTCTCTTTCTACTCTCATTTCACGGTCGAGTAGGAGGCATCTCGAGTGACTGCGGACAATGATGTTGATAAAGACGAAGGCGCTCGTCTTCTCGAGTCGCCGATATCAGCCGACTCCGCTCCGTTTCGTCGCCGATGATTAATTAAGCGGCAGGAGCGCGTTTTCGATTAGACGATCGAGCGGCGCGTTATCGGTCGCGAGACGGTCTAATTTGGCACGTGAACGATCGGGGTGTCGCGTGTGGAGAGATCCGCGACGGGGAAAGGAGAGCCGGACAGGCCGCGCCGGTGTGAGAGCATCTTAAGGCGGAGGCCACCCGGCCTCGTTGATTAATAAGGGTGCGAGCGAGCTACCTTCGCGTTCCATTCTCCCGCGCTCTTCATCGCGCCCGCTCTTTCGCACCGCGATCGTTCCCACGAAGGCGCATTCCGCGGCGGCTCGGATTTTGAGCGACGGCAGTTTCGATTAGCGAATCGCGTGCGTTTGTTAACCCCTCGCGCGCCCATTTATTTCTCCCCGGCGTTTATTCGGCCGGGAGAAGGTGCGGCCGAATGAACGTTGTACCATTTTTCTTTTGTTGCGGCAACGGCCCCGTCCCGATACGATAACGCGTTTAGAATGAACTTGTATTTGCCCGAGTATTATGTACCCACGTGACGTCAGAGAAATGGATTGTTGCCGATGATTTAACGTCCGCCCTTCTTCTTTATATCGAGAGAGGAAACATCGATATCCCTGATTTGCGGAGAAATTAATAAAAATTGACTGAGGTGATATTTTTTGCGATAATTCTTTATAATAATTTAAAAAAAAAAGATGCTTATGTTATATGTTAGCATCAAAGTTATATCGATTGAGGACCAAAACCAATGGTCGAGAAACGTCGTGACGATTATTATTTATTAATAAAGATAACCAATTAGTCGAATAAAAAATCCTTATCATAAAAAAAATTGTCGGGACCAGGGTACTCACTCTCCGACGCGTTCGCCGTTCCAGCAATGATGGTCGGGGTTGTCCTCGCAGATCGAGATTGCCAGCGTGCCGTAGAAGATGCGGGACCTGAGGACGCTCGCCAGAAAGTTAACCAGCTGCTTGTGCAACTGGTTCAGCAGGTCGTCTTGCGCGTGTGGCGACGACGCAGCTGCGTGCACCTCGCCGGTGGACGACGTGGACGATTTCGCAGCTGCATCCGAGGACACTAGGCTCTTCTCGTCGAACGGCAGCAGCTCCGAACGACCGCACACCTTTCTCACCTGGGAAAAAAAGGCCAAAGGTATCGATCCGTTCATTACACATGCACGAGATGAAAATTCTACGAAACTATCTATGTATAGACCGAACGTCGCGGCAACTCCTCTGAATTATAAACGACAGGAAGAACGGGAATTTTCAATTATCGCAAATACGATTTGGTCGATTTGCACGAGAATGAATGTAACGTTAATGACGAGCGTCTTTTCAAGAAGCTCAACCGAGGGAGAAATCGGACTCGAAACGGATCGAAGAAGTCGCGGATGACTGATGAGAGACGAGGTCACGCGCTAACGTGCTCCGGGACACCCCGTATATCGATGCACCTGGCTGCGAGTGTGCGGTAAACGCGACGCACGCATAAAGATCGGCTCGGTGAGAGCTTTTGCCGGCGGCGCGGCCGTTGGAAAGTGTCGCCTGGCGAAACGACTTGTTCCCGTTCCGAACGACGTCAATTTCTCGACGATTTAATAGGCGACGCGCCCTGACAGTTTTTACACTCGGCCGCGTCACGCCACGTTTCGGCGCGTTCACGCGTTAATCAAGGCGTACACTGCACGTACACACACACACACACGTATTTCGTCGCCAAAGAGCATTCCCCGTCCCAAAAGCGCCTGGCTCTTTCTTGGCCAACATTTTTCCGAAGCGCATTGAAACACGTGAGACATTATGACAGCTGATGATGATATTTTTACAGCGTACTCGGGATTTCGCAAGACTTCCCGGAAAATAGCATAACGCCGCGTCTTTTTATAGCGTAATGTCTGTCTGAGATATCCAGGGCCCGAAACGTGGCTTGCCAAACGCGCAACTTTTCTCGTCTTCTTTTGCACGCCAGCCACGTGTACGTGTATACGTGGCGCGCGCGCGCGCGAATACCCGAGGTAATCTAAGGTGCATTCACAACGATCACGTACAGGAACTCGCGATATTTCAGCCGGCTTAAGTTGTAAATTGCTATTTATGGATCACGTAGAGGTCTGCAAACGCAATCACGCAACGGCGAAATTATCAAATCGTCCTCCTCGGCGCGAACGGGGAATAATTTTAACGTGATTTCGCCGAGAAGAATTTGTAATGGGTCGAGCCATATCGTGTATCTGAAAGCTTTAAAAGCTTAAAGCGTTTCAGCATGTCAACGTGTAGCTTCGATCGCAAGGATAAAAGCGTTTTCACTCGAAGCGAAAGTTTTCCGCCGCTGCATCAAAAAGGAAAAAAAAATATATATATATATATATCATCGCTCAAATCGAAAACAGTTCCGCCTTTGTTACAAATGTCCGTTCGTCGAAAACGATTTTGTGTAAAACGACTTTGTAAAAACACGTCTCTGCGCTCCGCATTTTCCGCTGCTTTTTATCTCTCGTCGATTTTAAATTGAAATAAGATCTCTTATTTTTCGGAATTTTATGTCATGTGATGAAACTCGTCAGTATTTTATAGGCAATATATGAAAATGTCTACTTTGACAGGAGAGTCGACTCGCGATGAGAAATATCTTAACGATTTACAATTTTAATTATCTTCATAAATGTCTTTTTATACGGGACATCAAATGGTTTTCGAGAATCTTTTAAATTCCTCTCTGACGTAAAATATCTTTTATCACCTCCTAGTTATATCATCATCAATTTCGTTAAGCATATAATTCCGTTTCAATTTTATCGCCTTCGATTATCCATCATTATCAATCTCGTCAATCGACATAATAAACACGTAATTTCTTTTTAATAGATGCAAGCCTTTCCGAGATCTTCCGTTATCGTCAATCTCATCAATCAGCATTCAACCACCCGTTCGTCTTAATTATCATGTTGAAATGCTTTCAGTTCTCGCGGAAATCGCAATGTGACGCTTCAAGTACGAACTTCGCCAAGTACTCCACGTGAGAGAGATTTCGCATTCTCATCATGGCGATAGTTATGTGATCCTGGAGGATCACCTATGTGATTTTCTCTGGGTTAGATCGCGCGATAGGCAGTGAACCCGTCTTATCTTCACTGGGAGGCGAAAGCGGAGAAGTCAAACGCGCGTTTATCATATTATCAACCGCGCGCCGCGCGCGTTTATACAATAGTCATTAAGATTATCGTTGACATCTCTCCCGCGACGGTTCCCGCGCCGCCTTTCTGTCCTAATTACTTTTTAACGCGGCCCATAAAAGGAGTCGGGCCCCGGCACAGCGCGGCGGTACGGTGGTTGCTCTTCGGGCTCTTCGAGGCGGCATAATCGTAAAACCGGCCGGCCGAGCGTAATTAAGACGGCACGCGTGGGCGTTCAAACGTCGCTCGCTCTCTCGTCTCTCGTCTTCTCAATCTCTCATTTTTTCTTCCTCTCCCTCTCTGTCTTTCCCTGTCTTCCTGTCTCTTTCCGAGAGAGCGACTCCTCCGTTCTTCCTTCCCTCGATCCTGTCTTCGTTCTCTACTCGAGCGAAGTGGATGAAACACGAGGCGAGTTTGGAGCGCTGCGCATCTGAGGAGAATCCAATTCAAGTATAATAGCGTCCCATTGCGATTTTGCAAATTATGCTGCATAGGAGAATTAGAAATTGTCGAGAGTATAACGACATACTGACAGTACGAACTAGAAATTGTCGAGAGTAATGATATATTGACAGTGCGAATTGCGTTATGTCGATCGATATCGTAAAGCTAAAGTGGGGTTTTATAAGAAATAATGATTTCCCGACAATTTCTTATTAATTCTACAAAAAGAAAAGATATCTGGCAATTCTAAAGCGCAGTTATGCAGATAAGACTGGCATTTAAAGCGTATCAGCATTCTAACTGATTTAAATCGTTTAACTTGATGGTTTAATGACTCCTCTTTCATTGCTTCTCGTCACAGGAAGGAACAGATAAGGATGTTACATTTTTCTTGGTAAAGTAGTTAAATGAACTACTATAGCCTTACATTAACTAACATAAAGAAATGCAAATATTACACTGTTAAATATTAAAGAACGAATTTAAGCCAATTTGTTATTTTAACATAAAACAGTATTTTAGCTCCGTTGGTTTAGTTAAGTTAACATTTACTTAAATTAACAGCCTATTGAGTAGGAACAATGACGACCTATAAGAATGGTTAAAAATGACTCAAATTGAATATAATTTGACACTATGAATTTAATAGCGTAACAAGACTGAATAAATAGCAAACAAACTGAATAAAATAATATCACTTTATATAATTTTGTTATAAAAAAAATATGTATACGCGTTAAAAAATAACGCAATGATTTTACGAAAGCATTACTCAACTTTTCGTATAGGAATCTCTAAAAATCTCTAACTCCAAAAGAACCCCGCTATAAACGCCCATGATGTAATCTCCGCCGGCGTAATTCCATTGCCCGAGATATGACGTAATCACGAGAAACAAGGATTATATTTGTCTAAAAGGGGCAGATACAAATGGTCCCATAGGCGCGCGTTGCAAAAAAAAAAGAAACAAGAGGAAAAGAATGAAAGAGAGCCGAATTGTAACCGGATAAAAACGAGATGACACTATCAGCGCGAATAAATCTCCGCCGCGAAACGGGCGCGGAGTCTTATCGAGAGAAATTTCGCGCGCGCGTCCCCCGACCGGGGGGCGTGTACACGCGAGCTTTGCGTCCCCCGACCGAGTCGGCTCTACCCTTGACCCGTTCTACGGCAAGTGACGACAATGAGTTCCGCTTCTCACTCGTGGGACAAACGAGGCGGATTAGAAGATTAGGATGTTATCGCTTAACGCGCCCGCGCCCGGCCGCACTCTCGCCTCTCGCTCGGCTGCTCGCACGCACCGAATAATATCGCGGCGATCTCAGAAAGAGCCGCGTGAGGAACGATCGTTAATCCCTACTTAAGCTTCCTCTGAACGCCGGAAATTCGAAATTTAGATTTCTAAATCTACCACTCTGAAAAGATAGCGCGATATCAGTGCTATATTCCTGTGTCACGAAAATCCTGTGTTATGTGAGAAAAAAGGGGTTATTACTATCTCTTGTGGTGATCGAATACGTTTGAAAGATTGAGGAAGAGAACATGGAAGCGAGCTCATATTATTATAATATGTATAATAATATATTACTACCTACTTAAGCTAATTATTTTATTAATATAATATATTACTATTTTTATCTATATTGATATAATAGACAATTATATTATAATATTAATATATAGGTAAAAATAGTAAGGATCCGACAGAACATCTCACGTGTTGCGCTGTGCCGTTTCCTGGTAACTTAAAATTAACACGTAAAATTGTGAATTTTAATTTATAATCACGATAAGATACAGAAGAGAGTGTCTCGGTCGAAAGGAAATATCTCCTAACAAAGATACGGTCGGGGGGGGGGGGGGGCCATCGATCTTTTGCCGCGTATTCAGCAACGAGGGTGGTAATTGCGGTATCGATACCGTCGATATTCATGTCAGTGATAAACTGTATCGATAACGGGGCCACCGAGGGGCGAGCGGACGAGGAGAACGGACGTTCAAACACGCCCGTGAAATCGAGCACGATGAAACGGAGATCTCGTTCATATTCGGATAAGGGGCCCAGGCCTCCTTTCGTAAAGATAGCAACCGGGTAATTGACATACAGTGTGTGTGCGATTCAAATGGAATGCAAGAACTATTCAGCTGAGAAACAGATTGGTACGCTCGAAAGCGAAGCGTTTTAGTCGTATAGTTCGCGTTAACAAAGCGAACGTGTATCGCTTGTCGACGGGTTGACTGCTATTATGCAATTGGATAATTTATTCTCGACGCCATTCTTATGTCAGCATATTATTTTAACATGCTACTTAATTACATTTAAAATTCACACAATATTATTTTAAAGATTACCATAGATTCAGTCCGGATCGTGAATGGCATTTTTCTCTAATTAATTATATATCCATAACGATCCTGTTTCACTTCTTATTAATTACATTTTATTTTCATAAAAACTTATAATAAAATTTTATTTCTTCTTCCAGAAAGTCAAATCGAGGTAACTCGCATAC